TAGAGGAGGCGGGGAAAACGTAACACGCAAAAAAAGGAAGGTGGCGGAGCTGGCTGCAAAGGTGAGCCTGCCATTACAGTAGTTAGAGCAATGTTTCTCCAACCTGATAACTTTAAGATGTGTGGACTTCAACTCCCAGAATTCCCTAGCCAGCCTGGGAATTCTGGGAGTTGAAGTCCACACATCTTAAAGTTGCCAAGTTTGAGAAACACTGAGAGAAAAACAGCAACTTGGGTTTAACCGGTTTCAGGAATCATGACAGGACAGCAAATTATTCCCTGGGTGATTGTGCATTTACAGTTTCAAAACTGTAATATATCAAAACAGTTTCAAAAAAATATTCTTCAGCAGATGCAATGTGCGAAAGCAAAAACTAATGTGATTGGCTGCAATTTTAGGATGATAGTCAAATCTTAAACTGAAGTTGAGCTGGCAGTGCTGTAAAATTGCTGAAAGGGCTAATGCGATTTTTCTCTGCTTCCAAATCATGAGAAATAATACCTCTGTCTTGTTCTCCACTGATGCATCTCATCTCATGGCCAGTTCTGGTTCCAAACATCAAAAAGGATATAATTAAATCCAGCAGGGCAATGGAATTCATTAGGGAAATTGAAAATTGAAGAGTTGAGTAATTTTTACTTGAGAAGAAAGAAAGGGGATATATCGTCAAATATAAAGTGGCACACAGAAGAATGCTAAGATTTATTCTCTGTTATTCTGGAGGGTAGGACTTGATTAAGGGGTTCCAGAAGAGTCGATGCTAGAGACAAGGACATGCCCACTACTGCCTTCCTGAGCCACCCCTTGGGCTGTGAGAGGCTTGGAGATGTTACTATATTTTGTGTGTGTTCTATAAAAAATAAGATTCATGGAATGTAAATCATAATTTATATAAATTTTATTGCAAATAAAAATTAAATGCATTTACATATCATATTAGTAACTGCCTGCTCTTTCTTAATCACACACCTACCATTCAGCCTATAAATGCAGTGAAAAGGGCTGGACTGGAGCAGTGAAGAAATAAGAGCTTTGCCCAAATAGATGCTGCAGATAGATTCTTCTTCTGGTTCTTCTCTAAAGTAAAAAGCTGAGACAGCCACTGTGGTGTGGTGATTAGGATGCTGGTATAGAGAACTATGGAGACCTCAAGAGGTTGTTCCCTAGGCGCCTCCTTTGTGCAGTGCCAAGGATTGACCAATATCTTCCCTTTTATTCAACACCTACATTAAACCTCTGGGTGAGGTCATCCACCAGCTTGGGGTTCAGTATCATCAGCATGCTGATGATACCCAATTATATCTTTAACCCCAGGCCAGCCAAGTGAGGCTGCCAAGGTTCTGCCCCAGTGCCTGGAGGCTGTACAGGTTTGGATGGAAAGACCCATCTCTGGCTCAATTCTACCAAGACTGAGCAGCCGTGAATGTTAGGGCCACCTAGATCTGGGGATAGTGCATCTTTAACCTTGGATGGGGTCATATTTCCTCATTCAAGAGTAGGGGTATTCTGGGGATATTCCTGGACTGATGGCTCCTGCTTGATGAGCAGGTGGCAGCTGTGGCCAGGAAGGCCTTTGCACAGCTTCATCTGGGGCACCAGTTGCGCCCTTGCCTTCAGATAGTCGCTCATGCCCTAATCAACTCATGGCTCAACTATTGTAATGCACTATAGGTGGGGCTGCCCCTGAAGACCACTTCAACTGCTCCAGAACACAGGGGCCTAGTGATGGGCATGCCTTGGTACCCCTATGTGATACTTCTGCTTTGTGAGCTGTACTGATTACTAATAGTGCCTTTTCTGTCATGTCACCTGCCCTCTGGAATGAGATTCCCTATTACCCATGTGGGTCCCACCCTGCTGGCATTCTGGAGAGTCCAAGATCTGGCATTTCTTCCTGACCTCAGATTAGGCTGGTGGGGTGCCTGCTGGATTGTGTGTGGGTATGCCATCTGGCACTGGTTCTTGTTATTTCTTTTCTATTTCTTTCATAATTATTGTTTTGTACTTTGAGTCTGTTGGTTTTACTGTACACTGCCCAAAGATGGTTTGGAATCAGATGCTGCCTAAATTGAATCAATTAAATTAAATTAAATTCCCATTTAGCTATGAAGCTCTCTGAGTGGCCTTGGAACAGTCTCTGCACTTAGCTGAGCTTACTGCATCTTAGTTCATTTAAGATTGGTGGGAGAAGAAAATGTGTGTGCGTATGTCTGTGCAATAGGGAGACAGGCTGGGTGCAGTATACATGGTATGTTATGGTCCCTGAGAACAAATAAGGAGATATATATGCAATGAAGACATGTTTAGGGTTATTGTTATTGTGTGCAAGCATACATACTACTCTAATCACAGTACTCTCATTATTCCACCAAGCATCCTTTTTCATACTTCTCATTAGGGTAACTTCATACAATTCTGTGACCGTCTGATATATTTTTTCTACTCTGTTCCAAGCAGCTTCCACATCCTTTTTCCTCATGTCCATTCATTCTTTAAGAGATCGAACTACCTTTTACAGTATTATCTTTTCATACAGGGCTTATACTTTCTCTTCCTGAAGTCATCTTACTTTTACTCTATCTTTCATTTATTGCCCTTTCTTTCCTGCCCTCTTTCCTTCAAAATCTACTCTTGATGGGCCTATTGACCTTCTGCCCACCATGGTTTGGTCAACATAATGCTTTTTAATAAGACAGAGAAGATGGCAACTGGGTTATCAGCCTTAGCTGCACCCTTGCCATATGCAGCATTCTCTTCTAATAAAACAGCACTGGCCAGGATGCCACAAAAGCCCAGTTTTATCCCAAGCATGGTCAGACTTTACCATGATCTCTAATCCAGAGATTGTCTTGCAAGCCAACATATTGTTATCCACACAGCATTACCTAGGAGGTACATACAATGCACTAACACACATTTGGGATATTATTATTGTTATGGTTATTGTTATTGCAATCCTTAATCCAAAGTCAGTTCACTACAGAGAGAATATTAGAATTTAGATTAAAATATTTTTTGAAAATATTAATTAACAACAATAACAACAACAATTTATTAAATTTATATGCCACCTGACTCCCAGCAGCTCTGTGCAGTTATTTATTGTTAAAATGTTTGGAGTTCAACATGCAATCTTTGAAAATCCATGTTTCATGCTAAGTCTATATTCCCTTATTCCAGATGCTGTTTCTCTTTCATATTTGGCTGAATCCACCTCAGCGCACCTTGGCCAATGTTTCTCTTTCTTCACTTTGCCCTGCCTCATCACTGTAATCTGCCTGATCACATGAATATTTCTTTCTAAAGAGGTTCCCCATGATGTGCTATTTTGAGAAAGATGGGATAATCCCTAGTTTCAAGGATTTAGCAGTTATGGAATCGTTCAATAACCACCCTACCTAGTCCAATAGGGGTTAAGGAGAAAGGAATGGAAGGAATCAAAGAAGTTAAATAAAATTATCATTATTTAATTTATTTTTAGGATGCTTCAAGCACCTTGAAGCAATTTACAAAATATAAATTGTGCAATCAAAACCATAAATTCAAAACAATATAGAAATCATATACAGTTTTTTAAAAAGAGGAGGGGATAAAACCAGAAGCAAAACACATTTATGCCACATCCCACAGGGAGGCCTGGATGAAGAGAAAGATTTTCAGTAGATATCTAAAAGATGTAACAGTAGCAAATTTCACTAGGGAGAGTATTCTGTGGGTCTGTGGCATGTATCTCCCAATGATGTCTGTGATCAACCAGTACTATAACAGCAAAGGTTGTCTATCAGGCATTCTAATCCCAAGGTTGTTTAGGACCTCATATTGCATAAGTAAAATCCTGAACCTGGCTTGTTAGGTAATTGGTAGCCAGTCCTGTTGCTTCAATGGAGGTGTATCATATACATGGCTAGGTGGTAGCCTGGATGTTACATCATGCAGCAGCTGTTTTTCTGAGGGTTGGAAAGAAAGCATTTATCTCATGTTCAATATTTTCTATTTGCTTCCTTTTTTACAGGCAGTAAACAAGAGAAATTGCAGTAGATGCTTCTATATTGATTTATGAAACTACAATGAATAAACATATAATTGAATACCAAGCTGAGTTCTATCAACTTAACCAGCTAGACGACATGACCACACAATATTACAACAGCAGAGAGAATAGAATGACGTTCTTTCATAATTTGGAAACAGTGAAAAGTTTCACAACCGATCAAGAGGTATGTGTGTGTATATTATTTCTAATGATCTACTGTATGTATTGTACAAACTGTGGCCGGATTATCTATAAGTTCTTCCAAGACAATCGTTAAGTTGCTGTAATGCCATTAAGAAATATTCACAATTATGGAAGACTTTCAACTATGATTCTGCAGTTCTAGGGCATCTGATAGCTGGAATCAAGTTTGCTTTTAGGTGAGATCTAAGCTCTTTAGAATAT